TGTCTGAACATTGGGATTAACAATTTTATGAACGCTTTACCACCAAACGTTCCACCAGATCATTTCAATCATACTTTATACAGATCAACATTGTAAAGTACTGCTTAATTATTCGACCATGGCTTGTGAAAATGGAAAGTTCCCGAAAAAAGAAAAAACTCATCAAAATGCATTTTTACACTAAAGTGAAAAATAAACTTCCTTTGGTTCGCTGTGCTTTTATTTGCCTTTTAATTTGTAATTGTGTGTAAAATGCAGCATATTGTCATAAATTGATTTAGGTTACAAATGATGGGTGCCTGATGAAGCAGCAATTGAGGTAAAGTTTGAATGAAAAGAGAGTAGTGCTTTCTTATTTACATTTATTCTATATATTTCGTTGATCTTCTGTTTTTTTGAGCAACGTAGAACAGAATGTCTTTCTCATTTATTTTTTTGAATCTTAGTAATTTATGACAAATTTTTGCGATTTATCATTTATTTTTTTTCTTAGTGCTTTTTTTCAAAATTAGATGCATTCGGCATGGCAATTCGGTACACAACACGTCCATTGTACCTTAAAAGCGGGATTTGCTCGGTAAAAACATGCAGAATGTTAAAGAAACTATTTGAGGTTTAACTAAAAATTTTGGAACGTTGAAATGTTCAGTCCGGTAGATGCTTGCGCTTTTTAGGCTCACAATCGTGTGATCACATAGTATTGATTAATTCTCAGGTTCACTGACTTGTGTTGAACACGGAGCAATTGAGAGCAAGAGACATAAACTCGATAAGGAAGGTACAAAACGGAGGTAATAAAAAAGAAAATGTGTTCTTAGATGAAACTATCTATTGATTATGTCTATTTTTCAGCTTTTAAATTTGAAAAATGTTGATTTGTAAACTTAAAACAACTTTTTTGCATGTCACAAGGATCAAAAATTTTATTATCTGTCATGCACGAAATCAAGTTCGTGTCGAAAGAAATAAACAGAATAAATGAAAGGAACACAAAATGATAATGTTTAATGCATGAACTGTAAACTTAGCACCGCTGTAAGAATTCTTCAAAAAAATGTTGAACTGGTAGCCTTGTATAAGAGCATTTCACAGATTTGTATGAAACGCAAATTGCACGTAAGCTTTTTGTGCCAATACAACTCTTGCAATTAAATGCATTTTACCGCATTCTATTCCATCAGCATTCATGTGTTCAAACTTCCCTTTAATATATGCAAAAATATTCATAATATGGATTAATTATCCAGTTAAGATAATTTGAAGTACGTTCAATTGCTAAAGCGTTATCAAACACCATTGCAAATATTTTAGGTATAGATTAAATAAAAATACCTTTTGTGATGAAAAGATTTTGAAGTTTAGAAATGCAGAGAGAGTGTGCTAAATCACACTCAGTCATTAGGTAAACGCAAATTGAACTAGTAATTTAACGGATGAGCAGATATACATCAGCGAAATATTGAACAAGTGATCACGTGTAAATAGAGGCATGATCAGCGATCTTAAACAAGTAAATTTAACCAATTTGCTTGTACCATCTTAGATGAACGTACTTTTGAATGCTGCAGTTCACATAAAAGTGGAAGTAACGGAAATACAAGGCGGTACATATGGGCATGCCTGCTATGCTGAAGGGTCGGTAAAACCACACGATAGAGGAGAAGATGAGAACAAAATATCACGGCAGAGGAGAAGATGAGAACAAAATATCACGGCAGAGGAGAAGATGAGAACAAAATATCACGGTAGAGGAGAAGATGAGAACAAAATATCACGGTATCATTTGTAAGGTTACGCAAAATAAAACGAATATTATTTACTTTTTCTTGGTTACACATTGAAGTGTCAGAAATTGAATGTATTTTGGATTTTTGAGCGGTAGCGTTTATTGGGATACCACAGGCGATGGGCTGTGTGCAATCAAATTTTATGTGTTCGGATTGTTGCTGCATTTGGCATATCTTGCAACTGCTTCAGATTTTATGTGTTTGTACGCAAAGTTTCCTCATTAACGAGCGGATATTGGCTGTTATCTGTAGATATGAAACAATTAAATATAGTTTTTGGCCTGTAAGGTGTTAAGGCTTAAGAGATGGTAATTTTGGAAAACACATCGTTTAAAATGATATTGACATCGGAACACTCGTGCTTAGCTAGTTTTAGGTGATGGCTTAAAATAGTATAATATTTTTTGACAAATTTTTTAGGTAATATCTCACGGCTAGAGTATATCACGATACTCCACTAAAAGAGGAGAAATAACACTGTTCGAACATGAACCATGTAATAGTTGGGCATAATGTAGAATAAATCTGCAATCATCATAGCATCTAAGACATATTTTGTATGCGTGATCAGTAAATCGGAACAATTTAAGTACTTCTGGTACATATCATGCTATGTTTCGTGTTTTGGTCTCTTGAACTACGGTATGGCATAAAGTTTCAATCAAAATATGCCTTAATAGGGCAGGTTTCCCAAAAATATTCGGAAGATCAATATGAGGATCTACACGCAGAATAAATTATACGTGTTTAACAAATATGTTATAGGTGTGCTCTTAAAGCTTATATTTACCGCATTCTTGTACACCTACTTCTACAAAAACACGCTCTTCTGTTTCATGTTTAATCAGAATGGCCCTAAATGCTAAAACTGTTTTATGGAGCAGTTACATAGGTCTAAGCTACCAGCATGCCACCACAATATCTCCTAGTTTTATGGTTTTAGCAAGAATTAAATGCATTTGACATAAATTTAATTCTTGCCAAATATAACGGGCATGCCAAAAAAAGTGGTTATGAATGCAAACGAATGGAAAAAGTTGATAAAACAAGTTTTCAAAAATATACGTCTGATACTTAAATTGATTATTTTTTTTCCATTCCGCTGTACTGATGTATTTTCGTACGATTTCTGTTCGAAAAGATGCAACAAAGAATACGTGGTTTTCAATGCTTACCTTGTGTTGTTCCTTGGGAGGTAACACAGCTCCTGTAAACAACCGGAACTAACGATCATATGATTGGTAGATGATCACTTTTAAGATGAAAGACAGGAATGAAATATAAATCATAGCTTTAAAGTTGCAGGTTTTAACTGGGATAGAAACGCAAAACGGAAAATAATGCAAAAATATGTTGACTATAGCCAAAAGCGTGCAACAAACGAAATAATGATTTTGCTCTGATAAATTCTGCTACCGATTTAAGTACTTGAAACGTACACCTAGCACCACTACGATATTTATTTTGCTATACCATGTTACCCGGCAGCTATTTAAGCGTAATATTATATAAACTGTAAAAAACAATAAGCTTTTTCACCGTACATTCTAGCCATTGGGAAGGACTGTACAGCTTTCTGGGCACGTCTAAAAACTAATTTATGTTTGAGTAAATGTGTATTTACTTCACTGAGATCACTAATTTTTTCAGTGTAGCAGCTCTATCATAGAATATAATGATGGAATAATGGCCATACACTTCAAATAATAGTTAATTACACCATAAAATTTTTAAATGACTTACCAATTTCGGAGTTATTATTTGCAATTACGTCAGGAACTAAAAAATCAGCCTTGACCTGTGAACAAGAATAAGTAAACTAATTATTTCATACCCAATACATAAATTAACAAGTTAGTTTTGTACTCATTCATATTACAACATCTGATATTGTTATTTTTCTAGTAACGAGAATCATAGTTAAAAATAGAAACAAGTATTCATGTAGCGTACGCAATATCACTTTCATTTATTACCATGCCATTACATCACGGGCCTGTATGACAATGTAACAATATGATTTAACTTATTAGCTATACAAGGACTAATTCGTTTTAAATAATTATTCTACACTCTTTGTCAGACATGTATTTTGAAGTAATTCTCATTAGCTGGTTGATGGTCAGAGATTAACTTATTATTGTCCATATACGTGTTCTGATACTTTTTAGTGCTATTCAATATAATCATCGGTAAACTGATTATATATCTGGCAGGTTACTCATTAGAGCTCTATAATAGCGTAGAAGTTGTTTGATCAACCGCTCCTCTAGAAAAAACCTGCGATAATTCTCTTTCAACAATATTTGGCAATCGTATAATTATTTTACCTATGATAGTATTTCTTTGGCAAAGTAAAGCTATTTTTACTACTGCTGAATCTCGTTGAGGTAACTAATTGTTTTTATGAACGAAGCTACAAGACTGCAAGTTGCTGTGCAGAGAGGATAAAAAAGCCTAGCTCTAGCGTTAAAAATAGAACATAGTGATCATGTGAATTACCGACAATTCAATTCTTAATATTTCTCTACAAGTCTTTGCCATAAATGTGTGTCATGTGTATGAGTAGGCTTTCAAGTAAACACATATCCTTAACCTTAAAACCATGCATACAGTATTAAATTGCTAGAAATACTCATATTTTACGCTTTATTAAATATTTGAGCAGGTATATTTCACTGGTTATTATCAACAATTGACTTAAAGCATGCATAGTGTGAAAAACACTTTTTAACAGATATTACAGGGCAATTTGCTCATTTACATCCTTTACGCTCCATTTTACCATGAATTTCAATCTACACACAGATATTTACGTTTTATCATAGTAAAAGGTAAATTAAAAATTAGACCTATAAGTTCAATCGTTTTATTACGTACGGTCCAATGAGCACACAAATGCCACGTTTTCTTCCAACTCAATTTCAAATGCCCAATTTACAAATCTTACGCAGACTTTTGTACTTAGTTACACATATGGCCGACCGTCAGAGATATAAACTATTGACGGTCCTTCAGACACGCCTTGAAGTTGGTCAAAAATACAACAAATACTATTTTACTGATATATTGAGCTATAACATGGCACTAAGTGTTACCAAAGAGGCAGTCAATTATAATATTTAAAATTAAGTAAAATTAAAAATGAATTAATAATTGCTACTGACAAACGATACAAATGAAGGCACGTATTAATGTGATATACGGATATTATTGCAAATCATTGGTTTACTGTAATATACCTCTTTAATACTCGATGAACCACGCATTATTCTTTACCAAAATGATTTTTTTCTACATGGTTTACCAGGCATTTTTTATAAACGAATTTGCATCTGCAGTACTCGCAGATGAATACCTTTTTCCTAATGCTGGTTATTTTGTGGTAATATTTCTTCATTTCCTCATTCAAATTCTGATTTTCTTCTTTTTCTCTTATTTTTCTTGTTTCATTGCAACCAACTGCTCTTCCGAGACTGAAGCTGCCGTAAAAATGGTCACCGTGCATATCAACGTCCTGATTAACGCTGCAAAGTTCGCCATTCATACTATCGCCACCAACAAAATTACTGCTAAGGATGTCACACTCCCTCTCACCGTTGAACATCAAGTCCTTGTCGTAAAACACTGTGTTATTTTCACAGGATGCAAAGTTATTTTTGCACTCTAATATTGCGTTACAGCTGCTTATACAATCAGAGTCCTCCACGATACTGCCTCTAATGCTGTTACGCTGTGTTAGCATGTCTTCGTAGCTGCACACGCTGTCACTCCTCACGCTATTCCTGTAGCTGCCATCCTCAAATACACTGCTATCGTCATCCGCACCATTAATAAGGTTGCTAGCAATTTTCATATCGTGAAGTACACCACCACCACCGTTTTTACCCCTGTTAGTGATACTATCCTCTCTTTCTCTCTCCTTGTCATGTCTTACGTCTTTTATGAACTTGAAAAGCAAATATGAGTCATTAACAATACTTTTGTCCATCCTCGTTTCTTTTTCCATTCCCTTTATATTTAAAATATAAAATCTATTTTTAGGTAAATTAGTAATACGCACAGAAAACCACACAGAACCGTGTACAATAATCATTTTTTAGTAAATGAGGCAATAAGTGGCATAAATTGTGTAAAATGCACGATCAAGCTCATTAGCTATTTATACATTTATAAAATATCATCTCTTTTTGAGAATTATTACAACTTTTGGCGATAGGACAGTGATAATTACATTTATTAATAACCTTGTAAAAGGAAAGTCTATGAGTTGTTGAGGTAGAAGATACTCGGGAGGATCTGTACCGAGAACTGTACGGAAAAATGGTGTTTTACAATTGGTAGTTGTAAAAATGTACATTGGTAGCATTTTACGACTGGTGGTTTGTTAATATGGCAATAAACATTAAAGGCAATATGATAAATACAATAAATATGATTTGAATGACATATGTGCTATTAATACCAAAGAATGTGCCTGCACACGAAGACTCACACATGTTAACACGAATTCGGTTCGTTCCTGCGAATAGCAAAACTAAATTGGTAGAGAAAGCGTGATTAATTTGTCCTTTTGTTCCCATTGTGAAAATGATGATGTAAAAAAAGAAAATATTCAAAATGTGACAGTTTTTAAAACGTGTGTGACGCTCATCGTGCTGTCATAGCCTGTTCATAACACTTGCTGAACGAATATGTGTGAACAAACAGACCAAATATGTCATCCTGGTACACGTGCTCTATCCCTTCGGTCAGTCCCGATCAGAAACTTTTCAATTGTTTATAATTCCCTATAAAATTTGCAATTTTTTATTTTAGCCAAAAATGGCATTTTCACTTTTTTGAGGAGAAAAAGGAACAGAGCAGCTGATGGGTATCAAAGGAACAAGTGGTATTCATACGGATTATGTGATACATGATATATGAGAATGGTGCATATGCCAAATAGAGAGAATTCGTAATAAATTAGGGTAAAGGCAATGATAGAGAGAACACAGAAATGAGGTGTGGTAAAAAATAACATACTTTCCTGAAAACAAACTTGATGCTTCTTCGGTGGATTCTTGCGATTAGGCGCGTATCGGTTGGTGATCACGACACGCTAACAGTTGTTGTATGACAGCATAGAAATCCTAAAAAAGCCCTTACCGGAGCAAATCACAGCGTGCTGTAAAACATTTATTAGCCAATCGATCGCTACTGCAACATGTTGAAAATAGAATCGTAGCGCAGCCATTCATTTCCTCTGGGCATTCTTCGCAGATCCTTGTACTCATTTATAGACTTTTCTATCTCTGTTACAATTATTAACTGCCCTTCCAGACCTATTACTCCGTATTTTACGTCCACGTTCTCCTCATCCATCCCCATCAAAAATTTGATTGCCCTCATACCTAGCACAGCTGACATTATTCGGTCCGTGGGGCTGGGGTTAGAACCTGCCTGTATTTCGCCCAGTACCACGAAGTTGACTGCAAAGCCCTTATGCATTGCACACGATGTGTTATGTGCATTATTCGCGTTACGCATGCTCGGATGGTTGATGGCCTGACTGCTGTCGTGACACCCATCATAGCACCCGTTATCGCTGCGCATCAGCGTGCATAGTGAAGCACTTGACATTCTGTTGAAGGATTGCGAGCACCTCATCACAACAATACCTTGCTTATCGTTCATAGCATACCGCTTTCTGATCTTTTTGCACACCTTGCTCAGAAAATCGATTGATTCTGCTCTCTCGGGTATGAAACATTCGAAGGCATTGCTTGCTATTCCGCCCATCAGGCTGAGATAGCCCGTAGTGCCCGATACCTCGACGAGAAAGACCTGCTTGCGTGTGCTTGTCGCGGAAAGCCTGACACGGTCAACTGAATGTGTGATGGAGTTGAGAGCCGTGTCCGTTCCTATGCTCATTTCCGTACCGGGGATGTTGTTTTCCTGTGAAAAGGGAATGAGAATAACTCTAAAGCCTTTAAGAATGCGCAATCTATGTGCACGGGTAGCAGCTTCTCCGTCGTTCTTTGCATCTTCCCTGGTATCTGCTGTTTTTTCATTGGTCTTGCTCGTTTCTTTCTGTTCATTTTTATTGTTGCTCGTCTTGTTAGCTTCCGTTTCTGCGGTGTTAATCGTGGCCTCTAATTCTTCTATGGCCTTCTCAACAACGTTCCTGATTCTCTCAATAACCCACAGACATTCCACCCCGCCCATCATTACCACATTCCTAATACCGTGGTACACCAACTTATCAACGATGCGATGCGCGTCTTCTCCCCCAAATGAACATCCGATGACACTGCCACCGTCGTGTATCATCGATAAAAATTCGTACTTTGATGGTCTTATGAGTTTGTCGTTCAGAAGACCTTCAAAGCCATTCTCGGAGCAGAAGAGCTGCTGATTCATTTGGTGGCAGTACTCTACAATAGTGTTGAGTGCCACGTTCATACCAGGCACCCGTCTGCCGTGATGCAACACGAGTATTTTATTAGGTATGATTTTAGCACCTGTTTTGGTACTCGCCACTCCGCTGGTCTTCGCCTCAGCTCGGCCACGGCTATTTTTCAAATCAGGTTTCTGATCAGTTCTGATGACAGTATTGTTCATGTGAACTCGATTACATTCAATATTCTCGTCTATGTCTTTCTTGCCGTAGGCACGCAGTTCTTCGAGCAGGGAATGTGCCATCCTAAAAAAGCTTCCTCTGCTTCCTTCCACATTCCCCTTTTCGTCCAAACCCTCACACGCTCGCACTCCTCGATCAATTCCTTCATCCCGACTCTTCTGAGCATGTTGTTTTGGCTGCATATTGACACAGCCGTTTCAACGCCGTACAACAGGTTGCTTACTGCCTCCATGCCACTCAGCACAGAAAGTATGCGATCGCGCGCCGAGGGTGCGCCTCCGCGCTGGATGTGTCCAAGCTTGAGCACACGGCTGTCTATTCCCGTTTCTTTCACAATCAGGTCTTTGACATCCTCGGCATTTATCTTTTTACCCATTGGATCGGTTGCTCCCTCGGCCAGTATCACCGCAATACCGTTCTTGCCATCCTTTCGGACCTTTCTTATGCAGCCGATCACCTTGTCCTTCCATGATGCATTAGTGCTCTCTGGCAAGAGCACAAAATCGGCATTGACCGCAAAACCGGACATAAGCGCTATGAATCCGCAGTGGCGGCCCATCACTTCTATCACGAAAGCGCGTCTGTGCGAGTCCATGGTGAACGATAGCGAATCAAAGCACTCTATCACGCGATGAAGCGCGGTGTCGGAGCCTATCATCGTATCTGTGGATGGGATATCGTTGTCGATCGAGCAAGGTATGTGCACCACCTTAAGACTGTATCTATTGGAGAGCACCAACGTATCACCATGTTTTGAGATCCTCGTAGCCATGGCATTCTTGCTTTCTACGTCTCTGGCCGCTTCATTACAAACGCTAGGACTTTTATCAACCATCTGTGCTTCTTCTTTGCTGCCACTAATGCTGTTAGTCTCGCTCGTCTCCTCGCATTCAAACTTCAGAACACCCTCGGATACGAACTCATCAACGAATCCGTCGAATTCGTTTCGCAATATTTGTGCGCCCTTTACGCTTCCGTCGCCGCCCAAGACAACCAAACAGTCGATCCCTTTTTTCAAAAGGCACCATACGGCCCTTTTGCGCCCGCTTCTCTCCATAAATTCGGGACATCTGCTGCTTCGCAGGAAGGTCCCGCCCATAGGCGCGTGTTTTACCACATCATTGAACCCGAGCCGCTTTATGCCGTCGTTGATCAGCCCAGTATACCCATCGTAGACACCGTACACCATCGAGTTGCATCTTATTGCTGTTCTTACGATCGCGTGCACACACATGTTCATGCCAGGGGCATCGCCACCGGAGGTCAGCACGGCGATTCTCCTCGGGGTGATCGTTGGATCGAACTGCACGTGTATTTCATTCCCCAGAGCGTCTCTCAGCGTGACTGTGTTACGGTCCATCAGTCTGTCAATGTCGATGTTTTGCTCACTAAGAACATGCAAGGCATTTGTAGTTTTGAGAATCACGTGTATGCCGTCCGTCATTGCGCGTAATTGCACGCGCTCATTGCCTGTTATGACGATTTTGCGCGTATTCTTCAGCTGGTAAATTTTTACGTCCAGACCAAGCGCCTCATAGAGATGGAGAGAGGTGTGCGAAAGGTGATCGGAATGTATAACTATTTCGGTGTGGGTCATTCGGGGTGCGTTGTTGAACATAAGTGTTTTATAGCCCTCTCCTTTAGCATTCTTTTTGATTCGTTAATTTTTCTGAGCGCAATTCTACGGGTTAAAATGACACATTCCTGATGAAAGTAACATGTTTTAGTCGTCAAACATCCAATTGATTGGTGAAAGACTAACTTATTTATTCCGATCATGGTTGGCTGTATGATTTTGATTGATATATTAAAGTGATAAACGGAATTGGACAATGGCTTCTTCTCTAAGAAATATTAGCCGCAAAAATTTTGTATTTTCCGCTCAACTCCAAAAATATTAGTTTTCCCATGCGTTAGCATCCATTACAGCTTGTTTAATTCTTGAAAAATGCCATTGGTCCGTCCAACAGGATTAATTAATGGAAAATTGTTGATATCAGATATGAGTCCCTTAAATTTTTTGATGACCAATCAAAAATAATTTAACTTCTACTGATGAACACCATCAAGAAAAATAATTAAGTTTACTTTTAAATTAGGAACTAATTAGAAATAAAAGGTTTTAATTAACACGGTACGGTGATTTATTGCATATGGTAGGAGATACTTTTTAGGATACATAAATCACGTGGAACTACGCTCTCCGGTATTCCCAACAGACACCATTTCTCCGTACTGACCAATAAATCTGTAAAATTGAGAAGCAGTCACGGACATGCACACAAATAGAATCAAATAAAATTATATTATAATCTAACCGGGTCTCTTGAATTGATGGGAAAGCTGTGCACATTCACACTCCCGGAAAGCAACCGTTGACCAATGTGCGTTTAATAATCACAGAAATGCAGGCTATCGTACTTTCCGTACACTTTGGCGCTCCTTCTCTTTTCATCGTTCCTCTTCACGCACGCCCATTTGAAGCGCACCATCTCACACTCACGGTTCGTGTCCAGCCACTTGACAGTGCGCCAATCCGAGGGGTAGCCCGATCCGCATTCCGCGCTAAACTGTTTTAGCAGGTCATCACGTACCACTTTCGCAATTATGCTCGCACCACCCACGCATCTGTAAATGCTATCCGCCTTTGGCTTTATCGTGAACGGAACTGACGGGAAATGCCGCTGCAAAATTTGCAGATACTTGTCCGTGTTCCCGAGCGCATCAATAAAAACGTTTTCTACTCCATCTCTACGCAAGCTGACATTTTTTCCAATTTCATCGCTTCTACCAATTCCAGTATTGGTTCTTTCTTGGCAATCCCAAAAACGGCGTTTGTTTCCATTCTCTGTCGACAGAGCCTCAAAAATGATACGTAATATATAAACAACTGCGCTGATACTTATGTCATTTAGATTTCTTCTGTCCATCTCCGTGCTAATATACTCTGGATGCAGCGCATACCATACGTATGAATGCGTATTTCTTATCTGATCGTAAATTGTTTCTCTTTGTTTCGGTAAAAGAAGCTTGCTATCACACATTTTTATATCACTGTGCACGTCTTTCAGTGCCGAACTGACTGTTGGGTTTGTAATATCGTTCTCCTCTTCTATTATCAAAGCTGCATACACCAAGTAACCCAAAACAGGTCCGCGCCCCGCCTCATCTATTCCTATCGTGAGTCTTTTACCGGTAGATCTGATGCTAGAATGGATTATGTTTTTATTTACTGCTAGATTGTCCTCGGAGTGGGGAGTAAAAATTTTATTTTCCAAAATGTGTACATTCGGGACCATTTGCCTTTTTTTGCTTTTAATGGCAGATAACCCGTCATTTCTTTTAAGTGCAGTGTTAGGTTTTGCCGCAGTGTCTTTTTTTCTGTTTGCTACGCCATTGTTCAAGCCTTGCAATTTTCTCATGCAGAGGTAAAAAATTTTCTCGACTAAAAAAATATTTGGGTCAAATTTTTGAGCAACGATGACCGCGAGCAATGAAACTACCGACAAAAGCACAATTTGGACTGCTAAAGCACATTTACAACAATATAACTTTAATTACCTTTGTGTTTCGCAATATAATCTCAATTCCTTTTTATCGTATTCTCGGATATCACGCACGGTTTTGCCATTTCAGTGAGCAACAATAAAATTTTTGTCGGAAATCGCGCAGTTTACTTCTTTAAAACTGCTGTAAATACCGCAAATACCGTGTGAATGCTTGCACGTCCAAAGCATCTAGTATTTCTGCAAAACCCGATTCAGTAGTCAACACAAAACCATTCACAGTAAAATATCGCAATAATTAATTTTCACACATAATATCATGTTTTATACTTAATCCACTTAGTAGTCTAGATTTTCTAATTGTTGTCTCCACAATTTGTGGCGAATACCGAGCTGTGCTCTTCCCGTTTTCGAAAATGTTTCCAGCTGAGCATCTGCACTACAGCACTTCATTTTCATAAAGGATGGTCTGTAACTTGCGGTTAAAGAGTTTTAAAAAATTTTTGCTCTCAATCAAAACATCCGTAAAACACTCGCACGAAGAGCGTTGGTTGTAATAAAATATACTTTACTCCAGAAACCGAGATGTGTATGATCATAACCTAATGATAATTGCAAATCAAATCTATCTTTCCTATATATGGAGCACACATCGCTGCAAAATGGACATGCAATTCTCGGCAATTCAAAAAATAGCATTTCCCTTTTTTTCCCATTCTTTTCTTAAAGCGTCAACATCAATCCACATATTATCCGAACTTTGGACGGTTTAATATCTAATCCGATGCATACGTACGTGTCAACTCGACACTCCATCAACAACATTCTTATCATTTCACTATCCCATTATGAACTAGCTGTAAATAATGAGGGATCACCAAGTACATTCGTATAAATTCATCGCAATCGTTCTGTGATTGATAATATCGACTATCTTTTTATCTTCTTCGTTTTAGACCTAAATGTTTCTATAAAGAGACAAAGGAGGAAAATACATAAAAGGCCACTTATATTAACATGAAACTTTTATTATCTGGTCTAATATTTCCCATTTTTACACATTGTTGTTCCATTTGCATGCTGATTTTCTTTTGCTTCTTTTGATCGATTTTGGGTTTTCCAAAAAATTGGCGGAAAAAAGGAGATTGGAACGCAGATCAAAACGTGTGCAGGCACCAACATGTAAAATTGTGATGTTTTAAAATGCGGCATTTTGTAAACTGTTCAAAAATTGTAGCAAACACGAATAGCAAGAGCGCCTCACATATCGAGCACTAGCACGCATGCCCGTGGCAGAATGCAATGTTCGATGTCCGAATTGTATTTATAAAGCAATCAAATGCTATTTTTCATCCATTGTTGCACAAAAATTAGATTTTCTTACATCATTCCCTTTTCTTATCGCCAAACTAAATAATCTGTCACTCAATGATAAAGAAGGAAAAAGATTTGAAAATTAAAAGATAAAAGAGGAAAATTGAATAAAAAATAGAACGGCTTAAAAACCATAAATTTGAGCAGTAATCGTCTATGTGCCGTGGTATAAAAATAAATAATCTATTTATTTACTTATTAAGCATTATTTTTACACATTATCAATTATTATATTCTATCTTTAAACTTTCATATCATTTCAATGGCAAATCGATATTCGTACAAAAAATATACAGTGTAATAGAACAGAATTACCAAAAACGTTTAATGCCATGTTAACCAATAATATATTACTGTTTATAGCTGGAAAAGGAAATGTTATGGATTGATGTATTTTTTTGAGATTTATTTTTTAATATCAAAGGGAGAATTTTGGTAGCCGCATGAAGGATAAGAAATGGCAAATGAGCGATGATGAGATGGATGAGTGTATGCGGAACAGGTATCCTAGGGAAACACATGTACGAGTGAGCGACGTGCCTTTTAACGATAGTATAGGGATGGTGGCACATGGAAGAGATGGCTGCAGTCCTGTAAAGTATAGCATGCCGGAGATGAGGAAGATCAGCAGATACGGGACCACAAATGCAGCTAGAATGAATACTGGCAATGACGAGGAGAATGGCGCTGCCAAAGAAATCAGTGTTGACAACAATAACAGCAATTGGTGCAGAGAAAATGACGAAAATGATGAGAAAAATGATTTATTGGACGGAAATAGATCTAGCGGTGAAGAATACGCCGAGAATACGTCATGTACTGTCCGAGGTGACAAATCTGACGTGGCAAAAGAAAAAAGGAGTGTAGAACCCGGTATTTTACATGATACACATGAAATGCATTATACTGATAAATTAGACACTTGTCAAGAAATACTCTATGAGGACAAAGAAAATCCGATAGGAAGTGCTGCTGTCAAAAAATGTTTTGATGATGATGACTCGGCCAAGGAAGCTATTTTTCGCAATGATCCATTAGAAAATAAATCGGTGGGCGTTGATAGAAGCGGTAGAACTAACAGTGTATTTCTTAAGCACGGTTATCAGGACAGGAAGTTCAGCATTATCAGAGAGATACAGAATAGCAGATTTGGTGGAATAACCAGGCACGATATCGAACTTTTTCGATATTTCTTATGGAAAATACACCGATGTGATGTAAACAGACAAAACAGCACAATAAGTGATAGGACAAATGAAAGTGGAATGTGCAATAGCTTGTATAGAGATAATTGGCACGTGGCAATTCACGAGTCTGATCGAGAATACAAATGTGATCATTGCGACTTTACTTACATTTACAGAAAGTGTTTGATCACACATATGAGGAAAAGACACCAGCGGAAATAAAGGAGTCTCTGTAATGCACAAACAAGTAGTGTGGAAATGGTGAACCTGTAGGCCTATAGATAGCTGTTCATTACACTAACAAAACGTCTATTAAACATGTTTATCACATGTAGGTGATGTAAATTCATATTTCGTGGCAACTTCATCTTTAGATTTTTAAAATTTCCTTTTTTAATACCAATAATATTGTACTGTTATGGACTTGCTTTAAAGGGTAAATGTAGCAGTGTGTTTAACCGTGATTCGTTAGAATAAAAGGAGCCGTTTGTAGTACTGTGCTTATCATCCCTTATTACTTTATTGGTGTGTTCGAGACAGATTTGCCGCAATAATTGGTACCAATATTTCGGTGGTACAGTTTTAATATTCGTTCCATAATCGAACATAACAGCTTTTCAGAACTGATTACGACGAATTACCACGCGACACGAGCACGAAAAAATATTTACCATTGACATATATGGTCTATTGGACTAAATTTGACATGACAGAAATGGCAGATTCCCTTTGATATGTGAATATTATAGATTATATGGTTAGAATGGTGGCAAACAAATACTTTTAGGCACTCTCTAACGTGTACAGATACTACGTATTATTTGGTGGGCTGTCAATTTAAACAGTATTATTTTTTGATACCAATTATAACTTGCAACAGTATTTATGGTTTAATTTACACAAAGTAGTTTAATTAAATTTATTAGGCGTGTTTTCATGCACAGTGCACATCTTCAAAACGATCCACGCAAACCTTTTAAACTCAGTGATAGCAAATACCAAAAAACTAAAGAATTTTGATCAATCATAGCGTAAAATTGGTTTATTTCAAACACTCTCATAAAATAAATGGTAGGCACCATGAACTTCAAAAAACTTTCAAACTGCTATATTAATCATGGTTGTCATAATTGTGCAAAATTAATTAAAAATAATTTCTATCCAAAATGGGAGAGAGTTGGTGGTAAGTAGTAGACAGCCATGCGAAAACAAGATAGATCATTGTACAATTGGATCATGGATGAATACGAAAGTAATTTGCACGATTTAATAGAACACTTTTGATAAGTATTAGGCGGTAAATAAATTTTGATAAGCAACTGAAGAATAAGAAGTTATGAAAACAGGTAAGGTTTTTGCAGATTTTTTGCGGTGTGAGATTATTAACTTTAGATATTTTTAATTCGCACAATTTAGGGATAAGCAATTAAAGAACAAGACATAGAGCAGTGTCATAAAAGGTTTATTTCAAATAAAGAGATGTTTTATTGAAGTAAAAAAATTTTACAGCCTGAAAAACACAAAAAATATGGAATAATGACCATAATCCTTGAAAATAAAAAATCACAATATGGAAAGCCCAGGAAAGGCTCAATTATAAATATAGAAACGGCAGTAAGCTGTATAGAAAAATGGACATATAGAGTACTATTAATAAAAAGTAACTCGTACAAATGTAATAAAGCGTCATAATAACCAAAAATAGCACAATACACAGCGTAAAAGACATAACACTAGATGAAAATATGATGTTATCAATTCGTATCACTACATTGTTCAGCTGCACATTAGTTCAGCAAAATGCTGCTGAGACCTTTAATGAATTAACAACAATGTAGTCCTGGGTAGAATGATCAATGACTAAAAACATATTACATAGTGGTTAGAGAGCAAAAATGTAAGAAAATGTTGTTCATTACCGAATTAGAGGAGGTGCCAGTTCAGAACGGGTTTGGATTAACCATTTACGGTCGAAAGGACGGAATAATTTAGCGACTAAGATCCATAGATATGATTAAAATAGGAATAAGTAGCATATGAAAACAGGTAATACAATCTAGCAGGTGTGCTATAGTGATTTCTTAACAAAAATGTAGTGACAAGTTAGGAAGTATCATTATTGGATGAATGGGAACACGAGAAATATTCGCACGGATAAAATGTTCCGTATCAAACGTGTTATTACAGCCCTTTTGCGCTGTGTTTCCTCTCAATTGATATTTTATCGATTTTCAAGTTTAAATTACTTTGAAATGTGAGGCGCGTTCTTCAATAAGTATAGTATTTCTGAAACCTGATTACAAAATTTATTTATTCGCAATATGTAAATTTATCTAAAATTCTTCCGTACGACACAGTTCAGCCCAGTTGGATGAAAAAATTTGTATGAATAATGATCTATAAAATATTTTCTCCAAAAGTGATCTATTTAGCATCTTATGAATCATGTTATTCAAATTAACATTTTTTCTGGTTCAATGAGATTAACCGTGGTAGCTGATTTAATTGATGGATTCTGCGGGTACTGATAGTAGAAAACGCTTAAAAGGTTTTTTATCTTGAACAAGCCCAGCGAAACAATAGATGAATGTTTAAATGCCACCCTTGCATCGGATTGATATTTCTGTCTTTATGATCATGGATCGTGTTGCGCAGGGTAATTTATTTAGTGATTAAGCGTGTTGCAGGATGAGCATTAATGATGCACTAAAGAGTGAAATTTTGCTGTTTTCCGGAATTGTTTACAAAAGCGAATAATCTTATGTGACGATACTTGTACGTTCATTAACAAGGTTTTTAAGAAAATTTCTTCATCATAATTAAAGTATGATCTATAACATCTTATGATAAACGCAGTAATCGGTATGAAAGCAGCATTTCCAGATCCATTTTGGATAAGAAATACTAAATATTAGGTGTACAATTTATTCCTATGCTGCTGTTCATGTTCGCTATTTTATGATACATTGTGATGGCATGGCCTGATTGTAAAAATGGACAGTCTTTCTGTAAAAGATAGCATGTTTTATGCCATATCAATGAGTCCAATGTTCACAAACACACAAAATGTAAACGTTTGATCAACTTGCACCCGATTATGAGGTGCTATATGAATTATTGCACGGTTTGATACCAAATCACATGTTTGATGGGTGTGCACCAAAATTTAACATCAAAAAAATATGTAAAGGATCTTATTGATGTTGTTTGAGGAGGAAGTACTCGAAAAAATCTATTAAAAAAGATAATGTCAAAAATATGAACGGAAAAATCAACCTATTTTATTTAATTAAGGTTGTAAAGGGAAGAAATCCATCTTAAGATATTTTACCAATCCCGGGATTGTTGTGTTGCAAAGCAAGCATTTTAAGTGTCTTTGTTAGTATTGCTTCAAATACTGACACAAACTTAAAGTTTTTATGTTTGTATTTTGAATCTGGCGCTGCCTTTTCATTTCCTCCTTAAAGAACGAGAGTTCTTTTAGACTACCAAATTGAGAACCATTAATAGCTACATTAATAATTGTGTACACGTTTACATCTTAAGATTTAATGAATAATGACAGTAAGGCAATTGACATTTGTGGTTTCGTCGTTTTATAGCACCTACGAATTGGCAGTTCATGGTCAGAAACAAAGTTTTTTATCTCACCGTCCCCAACTATTCACGAAATTACATCCGATTCTAGCCGTCTGCTCATACCTTTGTTCCGCACGTCAGATCGATCAAATTTGCGAAGTGGTAGCCTTCAATTATACGATCAAGCCTTTTATTGACCTTTCCCTTTCTCTTTATCACCAATTTAATGTATCGATTGCACGGTGCAACATTCAAATGCAACGAATTGAAACGTGCCCATTCAGTGTAAATGATACGGAGTTGCTTGCCGTAAATACTTTTAACCTACGCAGAATTTGTTAAGATGTCGAGAACAGCATCAATTGAAAATGTCTTCTCCCGATAACTCGCGAGCGTTTTGCCTGCCAGCGTGGCTGTTGCATCGTTGGGGAGAAAATCGACAACCACAGACACTCTTTGCTTTCGTAATTCCTTATTAAACAGTTTTACAGGATCCACATTTCTGAGAAATCGATATTCTTTAAAGGAAAATTTTTGCCCAAAGAAAGAATGGCACCGCTTTTGATTGATGTTTGGTTGACAAGACGAGAAAAGGTCATTTCAGCCCACAACGTTTCCCGGTGACTCTTAGACCGCAAAATGTGTTTGGTATTTGATGCCATCCATTCAAAAAAACCTTTGGTACGCTTCGTGCATCTCTGTGTTTGTGCAACAAAGATTTTTCAATCGAGTGTATCATCTAACAACAGTTCCTTTCAGAGCGTATACACCACGCTTAAGAAACAAACTTTCAACCCGTTTCTCACAGCAAAAAAGTATTATAACAGTAGATCGCAGACTTACATCCACTGGCCGAAACAGCAACTTCAAATTCATTGAAATTTTCACGTGCCACTTAGCCCCTACTGCTACCAAACTCAAAATCTGCGTTGTAAATGACGTAACCTGTTTTGCTCAAACCAAATTAATGTGCTTCCATTTTTCTTAAGCTGTTTCTTATGATTAACTGGCACAGCTGCACTATTCCCGTAATTACTCCTTTCTATATCGTCTCACCTATCAAACTGAGAAACTATCCGATATACCAGGAGAAATAACCAACTATCTGTGAACGCGTATCAACAAACCAATAGCAAGCGCGATCACCTTATAAAACAAAATTTGTCGGAATTGCATAATGCCCATTTACGAGACTTGCTTTGTCATACGAGAACATCTTAAGACGCCCAAAGGCTTCAAGAAACCACCACCGGCCGTGTTCTGCAGTAATTGTGGATTTAAGAGCTGTCCATTGTACATCACCAAATACTGTGTGTTTAAGTTATGTGGCATCAAAGTATTCAAATACAAAAAAGAAGGTCCTTATGTTGCATGTAAAGGGTGCCTCACGATGCTTGGAACTAACGGTGTGTACCATTGTCGCAATTGTAAAACAACAGTTCATCCAAATATCGATTATTGTATAGGGTGTGGCAAAGGCATCTCATGAGGACAAGCAGAATATAACGAGATCTATATTATGTTGTGAACGCTTTGGTATAAGAATGAATTGTTAGATGCAGCATGACTCAAGTACCATCATGACCATTGTTTTTGCTAAGAACATGCCATATTTTATGACAAAAATAGTAAAAATAGTTAGCGATATTTTACCTGTGGCTCGACTTCGGTACAATAATGTGTTCATGTGAATTAAACGATTTTTCTATGATCCAAATTTAAGGCGAGATGGTTGTTATATGACTGCCTCTTTGTGTTGCAACATATTGCTCCTGCACATATTACATGGTGTTTCAAGCTCTACACTATTTTTTTATTTGCTAGAGCCTCGAAAAGTTCACACAGAGAAACAAACAGAAATATGACGTATTCGGTGATGACCACATAACGGTGAAGTGACACTGTCACTTCTATGAACCTGATTGTGCTTCAAATTTGTGATTTAAAAGGCGAAATAAGTATAAAGAGGCAAATTTCGTTCATTTTTGCAAATTTTTAAAGTGTGCTTACCTATCACAATGATGCATACAACAAGGCCGCAAAACATATCTATTTGCCCGATATTTGTGTTTAAGACGCTACGATGGCACATATCAAATTAAACATTTGTTCCGAACATGAACCAAGCTTCTTTTATCATAGCCCTCGAATTCTATGCCTCTTAGCAGCACTGATAACCATAAATACTACAGATGCTGCAAGCAGGTTTTGTAAATTGATGACAGCACCAATTAGTAAAATGGCACAGTTTTTGACACGAAAAAGCACATCATGGCATTCATATGCAATGAAATCATGCTTGTGGAAGATGTATCGTAAATTGCATAGTATTTACAAAACCATATACATGCTTACGACGTTTGACGAGCATTATGAGTACCTGTATACTACTAAGATTTTAGGTTCACAATCAATGTCACATCTTCTACCTGCTATAGACATAGTTAAAGCTACCAACCAATGGTTTCATCGCCTCACATTATCCTAAACTTGCTCTTTACACCTGTGCGCAAATATCTTCCCACCGACAAACATATCGGCAGTCCATTACAGGCAATCTCCACAATTCCTAAAACATTAACATTTCTTGCATATTTTATTGATCTGTCACACATCATTTCATATATTTCTATCAAATCAATAAATGCGTGTTTTTTAGACTTAGCAATGTGGTGTTCGTCGTTTCTTGCACTCCGAACCTATAACAAAAAGCTTAGAGCCACTCCTTTGGACAGACCTGCACCGCCAAGGAATGTGATATGCATGTGCTGCGATACGAATATAGATCCTGTGTATGTGAAACGGTATAAAGCGCTTACCATTTGTTCGTTGCCTGTAGTTCCCGTTTTCTGTGGGTATGTCGGACTTGTTTGTCCGAATTGTTGCGCACTAGTTGGTGACAACACAGTGTGTTACTGCCAGGAATGCAGAAGAATATTACATAATGATGCCTCATTTTGCACATATTGCAGCGGTACATGCATGTTGTGATATTTCGATAAAATATTGGAACACTTGTGTCGTTCACGGTTGTTATCGCTCGTTTATCCACACAGCAACGCTCGACTTGAAAACAGATATTCGTAAGTTTGGCCCGGTTAGAACCTTGTTAGTAACTTGGCCACGATCATAATAATCTCTACGTTTTATTTTTGTCAGTATTTATTCACGTTGATATTACAAGAACAGTTTATTTGAATGTGTACGTCGAATTATTCTTACTGTGATTACGACCATTATCACTGCTTATGTATTTTGAGCTGGTCATGTGGTGAACAGCATAGGTAATTAACTGATGAGTACTCCATAGAGTTCGCCATTTTTAACGACAGTTATGTTCTTACCGCACATTTACGGTTAGGAAATACTCCTTGATACGTTTAATAAAAGTCTCCATGTGTTGTTATGTACGAGCGTGATTCAAGCTAATGTGCAAGATACTGCCATTTATACCATGATGCCCTTTTTGTTGAACTCTTGTTTGTGTATTGACCATCTCTTGTGCTTTATTTCCCTTTTTGATAAAAAACGTTCATATCGATAGCTCTGTCTTGACTATTGTGTAGTAAGTGCAGGCAACGATTGTTTCCTGTGCACTATAAGTTATCATTATGGACAATAAGAAGCACAATGTTCGGTTAAATTGTGTTTAACCCAATGAATAGCACAAAAAATACTTTTAAGGTTCAGATAACAGCGTAGTAACCAGTTTATGGGTGAAACAGAAAATTTAGCACCAGACTTTAGCATATACTCTAACAGCGAGCATTTTGTTAGCAATACCAACGTGAATGATGCCATAAGCCATCATAAAAAGCAAATTATATTTCTTAATACGGTTTGAACCACCGTACTCTTCTATGCTTGCCACTTCCTATAATTAATTTCCTGCCCCTGATCGATTCGTGCATGCCGCTAAAACATACCAAAGTATTTACTACTGAAGTGTGCTCTCTCCATTCATCTTCACCACACTCGCGTGTAGAAATGTGTGGCATTGCTTTGAGTAGGACCCGATGCACCTACACATTTGTAGATTTCTTTGGCACATGCATCGTGTTCTGTAATGCTCGAGACCTGCCAACGAAAACTTTGTGCAAGATTTATGGATTGATTGACAGCAAAGGACGTGTTTTGGTCATGGAGTGGGAAAGAACATGTTTTTATGGCGAGATGGCATTCTTAGGAGAGGTGGTGTCTCTAAGGAAAATGAAATTTTATGGTGGAACAAGCCACAAGCATATAAAAAAACGAAAATAGGGCGATATAACAATAATTTATAGCTGCAATGTCAGTGTTATAGCACTTAATAGTGGCTTTTCGCTTAGTTCGACGTATACTTTTTCTCTAAATTTAAATTGAACTGCTTTAGCGAGGTATGTGTTCTTTCAATTTTTTGTGGTTGCTTATCAAATCCTGTCAAACCAATTTGGTAGACTTCTTGCCATACCTTACAACATTTAGATTTAAACTATTTGTTACAGCAAATGATAGCGTGAAAATGTGTTCGGCGCAAGGTACTTTGTGCACAAAAATTTTATTGGCAGTGGTGGGAATTAATTAAAAATATGAAGGCGGACCAGGATACGTGAAGGATTAAGAATTCGCAAAATGTGTGCAAAGTACAAGTTAAAGCTAAATTTTTACCAAATTGTATGTTGATGGTCTCATATATCTTGTTTTAGAACATACTCTGCTGATAAAATATTTTAGCAGGCAGTATTTTATGTTCATCTTAGATCATTGCTAAGACCAGTCAAACTGGTACACGATATTAATTACCTTAGAAAATATTTCCGTGGTTAAGGTGTTATGAGTTGCTACGCAGCAAAATTCTAATTATGGAATATAAACTATCAACGGAACACCCAATCATTCATGGACAAGAATGAAGTTTGCTTGCCATTCCAGGTACTCTTACAACATCATCACGAGTTATTTACTGTTTGCACATTCGACCGATAAGAACAAAATATTTTGACCTTAAACGGGTCTTTCATACGGTTTGGATGGTTATACGGTGATGATCATCAGCCTTATGGACCAAAAAAGGCTATAAATTACAAACACACTCTAAATATATTTAATAAATTTAAAGAACATGATCATATGTATCAGCCGTCCATCATGACATCGAACTTGATAAAAATGTCATTGTCATCAATAAAAAAGAGCAAATTAGGCAACGAGGGCCAGCACATGGCTAAAAACTGATTTAACTGCGTATTTTGTGGTTGTAGCGTGTTCATATGTAAATAAAATGCATTTTTATGTGGTATACGCGTTTATGACAGTGCACAAGCGATCACCCGTTATAGGTGATCCATGTCACCGCCAAAAAGCACCATTCTATAAGGCAATATACGTGATTCAGAACAAATTTAACGACACAAAATCAGGATTGTATGAATATGAAATGCTGAATGGCTGCGCATTCTTTATTGGTAGTGAACAATACGTTACATCTGATACTAATTTTATTTGACACTCTACGGGACAAAGGCTGCAATACCGACTTAATTTACTGTATGCAATGTGAAATAAAGAACTATACATGGGAAGAATGTGTCTATGCAAGTAAAACGTAATGTAATACAGTGTTACATTCTGTTCATAAGTTTGTACTTCAAGAGCGTTATACAGTGGTGTTTGTGTAATTTAACTCTCTTGAATTTCAACAGCACTACACGTATCATTCGTCACAAAAACATTGGTGTGGTTCGTGAACAAATTGTTATAAAGATGATTTGATGTTTTTCACGTGATATAACCAAATAAAATTATACTTTCTTACATGAAAGGCATTCTAATACGTACGTTATGGAATTATTTCGGCTTTATGTCTTTCTAGACGCCATACCCAATATAGGGAAAATAAAATATTTTACTAGCTTACAATATAAATTTACCTGCTACTCCAGTTACATACGATACCGCATTTAGATGCCTGTTCATTTTGGTAGAAGGTACGCAAGAAATTACAGTTCATGTGTATGAACGATTAGAACACCGTTCTCAGCACCTATTAGCATCGCTTTCATCGCTGCCAAACACACTGTAGTATAAATAAGATCAAACAACTAGCATTAGCTACACTTCAATAGCACTCATGTTACTGCATTCCATCACTACCATGACAGTCTGTTCTAAATAGCCTTTCACTGTGGTATTTATCATTTTTTAATAATCTGTCATTAATGTACTTTGTCATACCGTTCTCAATTAAAAAGGAGTTTGTTAAAAATGGTTGTTTTATTCTGCCTTAGTCAATTAAAAACCCAAATTTCTTGATTTAAAATTGCATTCATCCGAAATTGGGAATGCTTAATTCGGTGAACAGGCAACAGGTCTACTAAGTAGAGCAATGAGTCATTGCATACGGTTTGTTTGTTCTAGCCCACTTCTTTTTTTCTAAAACGATCATTTAATCTGTATTGCTTTCCTTTACGTTTCACGTTTACCAATCAAGTATTTAAAACATTAAGGATAGTAGCCCGAAAAAAATAAAGAGCAGAAGATTGATGATGTACGCTGAATCAAGCAAGGAGCGTCTTTTCGTTCCTATAATTCGTAAGATGACGCATAGGAGGGTAAAGTACGTATGTCTCTTCATTTTGTTTATTTTTATTGTCTCGCTTTTTGTTATAAAACAAAAAAAATAACAAGGCTAGAAATGAGCATACCGAACGAACAGAAGGTTTTGCACTATATTGACATAGAGAGCGACAAGGCGTTGAGCTATGAGAACAGAATAGAACAGAACAAATATTTTGCATCGCTTAAGCCTACATTACCGCTCAAGCCGATCAAAATGACACTGCAGACAACGGTATTTTTGTATAAGAGAGAAAATCATGCCGATGATAGCAATGAGAGCATGGAGAGGATCAGGAATTATTCGAGTGAACGGGAGATCAATGAAAGCTATGTTCGGCAGAAGTTTTTTGTGATCAAGAGGGCGATAATTCGCAAGGACACGAACACACAGGAAGATACGATTTCGATGCGGCTGCGGCACCCCAATCTTCTGACAACTTACAAGACCTTCAGAACGGAGTTTATTGACAGGAACAACGAGCAGCAGGACATTGTGTGGCTGTATTCGCAATTTCTCAAGCACAGGATAAGCCACAAGTACGTGGCCATGGACGAGAACATCATCAGAAACATACTGACAGACGTGTTGCACGGCCTTGAATACATGCACGAGCGTAAGATAATGCATTTGGACATAAAGATCGCAAATATAATGGGACAGACAGAGAACAACCGCATTGTGTACAAACTCATCGATTTCGGGTATGCGCGTGATCTTATGCTTAGCGATAAAGGTTCTAAAATGGAAGAGATCAAGATACCAAGCAAAAGCTATGGTACGTTTCCCTACAAGCCACCGGAGGTAGTGTTTGAAAACGTTCACGGTCTAAAGAGTGATATATGGTGTATTGGTGCAGTTGCATGGTTTTTATCGCTCGGCCGAGTGCCATTTTATCACGACAACGGAGAGAAGAACACAGTGACTTACCGTAGGTTCATAAAGGGCACCAAAAAGCACTTTTTCTATCCAGAAACGTCCAATGAGCTCAGAGACTTTGTTCTCGTGAGTATGAATAGAAGGCGTGCGAATAGGCCGAGCGTGAAGGAATTACTGAAGCACCCTTTCATTCTGGGAACAAAGTTTGATGAGAGTGAAAGCGAGCACGATTCGGGATATGGAAGTGATTCTGATGTAGAATCCTATAAAGATAATAATTTATAATAAAATGATATTTTGAAATTTTTGTTGGGAATGGAACCTGGCGGTGTAATTGTGCCTTTTGGCGGTTGACCATCACGTAGACTGTGGCGAACTAAGTATGCCTGAATAGAAATGATGGTTATAAGCAGATTAGGGAATTTCCTGCCCCATTTGGTGCTGGTGTTGTGAAACCGCAATCTCGAGACGGAAGTGTTTTTTGAAATTTAGTTTGAAAGGTAATTGCTGCAGCAGTGAATGCGCTGGTAGGTAATAAAAATAGTTTGTGCGATTAAACGCCCTGATACACCGTGCTTCGCATTTTAGGAACTTTTGATAGCTGTTTTATGATCAGATTGGCTGTGCAATCACTAATGTTTCAGCTTGCTGTTATGTGAGCGCGTGTGTTCGGTGTGCGCCATCGCAGGAGTGCACGATTGTTTTTACCACCGGTCTCACAAACAGATTGGTATCGATTACTATCAGCAGAAAATAATGAGTTATTTACTACACCCGTTGTACAATGATGGATAAGGGATTTTTACTAAAATAATGAACTGCCTTTTATTCCGTTAAAGCAGGTTCATTTATTCTTACTTCACTTTCACAAACACATAGTAAATTTACCACATCTGTTAGACCTCTGGTTACATTCATGTGCTTTTACTCCAAAAACTGGGCACAAGGTATCGGTTGTTCTCTTCTACAAGAAAATGGAAGTGCAAATAAGCAAACTTTAATGTAAAAAGGAACAAAGGTTTGCTGTTTATAACTAAAATTCTGGTTAACTCTTCTTTTGTCCAACCGATTCACTCCTTGACCTTAAAATGTTTCCGAAACACTGCATTCAATTTCTGCGCCATAAACAGGCGCTGATACATCGTTTCCATATTTTTATAGCACTTGCTGCGATGTATGGTAGATATAAATGTACTTGCCAAAGATTCACCGTGCCTTAATCTTGATACGTAAAAAAACAATTCTTAACACGAAACATGTACCACAAGCACTCACAATTTTTATTAGACCATCTGCTAAGCATGTAAAACGGTTTGTACGTCTTTGTCTGTCATTCTCTCTGTCTGCATCTCAACAAAATACGCCATCATATTTTGAGCGTACTTTCCCAAATAATATTCAGTACAGTTTTTCTTCACAGCCTTCACTCCCACTATCTCCAGCCTGATGATGCTCAACTTTCCATTGCTTATTTTAAACAGATAGCAGAACAGGTCATTTGTGCTAAAAGTTGTTGCAAAAAACGAAAGAAATTTCTCAAAACGTACAATGTCATAATTCCAGAATAGCCGTGCTCCGATACGTGCAAAAAGATTTTCCTTGTCCAGCACACTTATATTCTTCTTTTCAAGCGGAATATATCTCCGATACTCCTTGAATTTCATCGATAATAAACTAAACGCGTTCTTTATAGAGGAGTACGCTGCCAGTTTTTCCTCATTATAATCGACGAATGGAAGAATATATTGGCTGGTAAGCGTGCTTTCGTTCGGAGAAATCACCAGCACATCGGTGCTAGCCAGTGTTACCTTGCTCAGCATTATTATACACGCATTTTGTGGCATGATACCGAATAATTCATCTCTGTTCTTCTCTATCAAATCTGAATGGATAAGATTGATAAACTTCTTATTTGATTGTTTTATGTAGTAAAGACACAGCAATACGGTACTTGTGATGGCCAAAAATGCGATAATAACAGTCAACAAAATTTTGTGCTTCACTTTCATGGTCTAAAAAATGGTTATCTATAAAAAGATAAAGTTTATTTTGGAAAAGGTAGTAGCAGATTTAGCACGAGTTAATGGATATCGCGGCTGAAATTACATCCGTGTTGTGCTAAAATTTTCAATTTTTCTTTTTTAATTTGCTTTATATGAACAGCTGTTCTGAAATTAAAGGAATTAGCGGGAAGTATTCTGAGAGAAAGAAAAACAGTCGAATAATGTGCATAATGACGCTATAATGCAGATATTATGTCGAAAAAACTTGGATATACAGTATTTCCACATAATTTATATACTTTACACGTTTTTATGAAAGCTCGTATCACGACAACAATTATTTGGTTAATTCCTCCGCTTACGCTAGTAAAAAGTGCAGAGATATTAACATAATAATTGTTAGGAATGAAAAATCATCTTTGGTTTAAGTTTGTATCGATTTATTTGATCATCTTTACGTTTTTGCTTTCTTTACCATGGTATAGCAAAATTAACCACTTATAAACATTAAATTAACAACGAAACGTTTAATTTAATACTGGTATAAGATTATATGCAAACGCTTCATGCTCTGCCTCAAGTTAACTCGGCAACATCGCATCGTTCACAAAACAGACTGAACCGTAGGTTAAGCGCTATTCACTTTGATATTATCCGGGCACAATAGCATTCTCTTTCAAAAATGTATTTCTTATTCACCTCTCGTTATAATCATAGCTCTGTGCCAGTTCACACCATGCAATGTTTTTAATAATTGAGCTGTTTGAATGATGGTCTGCTATCCTCATGAGTAAAATATGACTGCCATGAAGCCAGTCTGTGAACAGCAGATACATTTTGATTCATGTTGATTAGAACAGCAACTTTTATTAGTAATGAAAATCGTTAGAAATGACTCATCATACTCATGAAGATAAATCAACCTACTATAACAAAACGAATAATTTGTCCTTCTCAGTGGATGAACATACTCTGCGGTTGTAGTAATAGTCATTTTGAAACCGTTTGAACGGTCTGCAGTTGAGCGGATTTTGTATAATTCAGAGTGGATAATATTTTTGCAAGCGATCCTTTGTTCCAGTCATATTAGAGAGAATCTGTGGTATTTATAGCTGAACCGCAGCAAAACAATATAGTACGAATAATGATCAGCACATAGGATTGTTTTTACGTCTATATTATCGTGTAGTTCTGAACGAATATGTTATTGAAATTCCCATTCTCTCATCTCAATGCCGAACAAAGTATCCATCTTGAGTAACATGCAGGTACTTAGTTTAAAAGTAATTAGGTACAGACACACAGCCCCACATAATAGCTTCGTAATAAATGTAAATGTTGTTTTATGTCATTATCATAACAAATAACTATTTAAAACATTTGAAAAATAAATTTACACATATTTCTGTAAAACAACATCGTATTGTTCCTAACATGGCATTACCTATCGTTCACACATCTTTTCTACGTAGAATTAAAATCATATATTTGACCTCAAGAAGATAAAAACTACAAAATTATTGTTTTACAAAATTTTCTGTTCCGTATTGCCGTGTTAGTTTGGGTCTTTACTTCCATCGCTTAGTAACATAATTTAAATTTATCATCGCAAGTATATTTACGTTGCAAGGTTTTTGCTATCTCATTCCACCTGGTACAACACCCTACACAACAATGTTTTAGCCCTACTTCTCCATTAATTTTGGTTTGTTTTATAAAAATACGTTTAGTTGTTACGCGCCCACTTATTACAATCCAAACAAAACGCACTCTACCGTTGTATTAGCTTTTTAATTTACTTTGATTTTTTTATCGAGCCCTCAAACCCCTCCTTTCCTATGACTGACCCTAACATCAATTTTTACAGAAAAGAATGTTCATACTGCTTCAAGACAACCGCAACAGATCATATCTATGCCTGTTCATGTTCTATACCCGTTTGTTCGTCGCACAAAAGTATGCACATGTCAAAATCTGGTCACAAAATAGTTTTCTCGGTGCTAGACGATATTTTAACCTTTGAACGCGAGTACAGGGAGGAAATCGAGAACGAAAATAGGGATATAAAAGAGGTTGAGGAGCATTTATTGCGTACGATCGATCTTAAGGGTGATAGAGACTGCTGTCCGCACAGCACGACTCCTCAAAATATCATCCATAACGAGACACGGTGCCTATCAAAAAAGGATAAATGTGATGTGAAAGATTTATGGGTGTGTTTTACGTGTGGTTATTCAGCATGTGGACGCAAACAGGTGTATTTAGAAGGAAATAATCACATGGAGACGCACTACAAAGAGACCAAGCATAGCAAAGTTGTTAGAAACGATTTAATGTACTGCTATGTGTGTGAAAAATACGTGTATGATGTTAATTTTGACGACGTGAGCAAATTAACGAATTGCGCACGGATTAAGGACAAGAATGCAGAAGTGTATGAGATGATAAAACAGATTGTGAAATTGAATGAGGAGCAGAAAGACAGCTTATTCAATATAAAAGAGATAGATTATGAGCTTGATTATGATGTGCCAGGCGAAAACGATGAACAGAGTAAAAATGGTGGGCACATCGCGGGTCACAAAGGTATCACAAACAACGGCAATACGTGCTACATATCATGTGTATTTCAGCTGCTCGCTGATATCTTGAATTTTACCACTTTCCACTTTCTTAAATGCTCTGTTAATCCGTTCAACTGTCTGCTATGCCAAATTACAAGGGTATGTAGAGAATTGAAAAGCACGGAGAAGAGCTTGAAAGAACTTACAGAGAACACCAGCACGGATTATATCAACATAAAAGATTTGATAAAGTGTTTGCAGAGAGAAGGACTGGTTATCGATGGCATTCAGCAGGACTTTTCTGAACTGCTGTTTCTCATACTTGAACGTCTGAGGAGCGAGGAGACGAATGAGATTGAGTGTGGTGTGAATGAGCTGTTGATTGGGCTTGTGGTTCGAGAATGGTGTGATGGATGCGAAAAGGAAAAATTGGCAGATAATGAGCAGTATTTTGTTATTTTGAGTGAAAAACGGTATGATAGGCTGAACGGTAAGGATGAGGTTGAGAACGGAGAAGATGTTTCCAAACAAAACAAAATAACGAATGAGCACTCGTTCGGCCCCAACTTCTATTTCTTTGAGGAGGAATGCCTTGGAAAATGCTCATGTGGTGGTACGAGACACAGGAACACGCTAATAAACAAATTGCCCACTAAGCTAATTATCATAAACAACCACAGAATGGAAAATAACGAGTTCCACACAAATGACCAGATCCCTGCTCATTTGGATTTCAATGAACTGATCTATAAGGTAAAGGTGGATGATAAACTTGTGAATGAGGTATTAAGCCTAGGTTTCAGCAAACAGGAGGTACAAAAAGCATTGCGCCTTACAAACAACAATCTTAACAAGAGCATAGAAATGTTGCTCAGTAAAAACGGTAAAGTGTCGGACAACAGCGAATTTAAACTATTTGGAGGCGTGAAATATTACGTGACAGGAATGAACAACGGTCATTACATCTATATCAGGGACAGCGTAGTCATCGATGACAAAGAGATAAGAAAAGTGAAGGTGAATGAAAGGTTTTACAAACATTTTCTGGTGCTGGTGTACAGATCTGTAAGTGTTGCTGATTAATGTGATTTATACGTGCAAGGACCGTTGAGTATAGTAAATGCGTTCTTCATATTTTTTACCGAGTATATTTTATTTATCTCTTCACATAACAACGCGTTCTTTATTCTTGTACGAATGGGTGGTCGTTACAATAAAATGGTTTAGCTGTGCTGAGCGGGTGAAAAACATAAAGTTTAAATATCAGCGAAAAGTGTTGCACCGGGCAAGCACCACTAAATTATAATATTCACAATTACGGATTTTCTACTCCCGCAGCACCTGTTTCAATGACACGTTATCCCGTATTTTCTTGAAGAAAATGCTCATCAAATTGCAATCATCTGATCGCTGTATTTTCTTGAAAAAAATGCTCATCAAATTGCAATCACCTGATCGAGCATTTTCCTGCATCCTTTCTAAAGTGAATATTTACTTATCTCCGCGCTATCTTCACAGATACGCTTTGTCACACCCTGCCGTTCCTCTCGTACTTAAATTTACCAAAAAATTTGCAACCCCTACAAAATGTCAGAGCTAGTCGATCAAAAGCCACAAGCAAACGATTCCGTTCTCAAAAACTTAGAAGAGATAAAACCGGATGAAGAAGAACAGCAAAAAAAGGTGTACAAGTTTGCACTGGTGCACATCAAAGCAACAAAGAACGACACGATAATTCATGCCACTGATCTTACCGGCTCGGAAACTATCACCAAGTCATCTGGTGGAATGAAGGTGAAGGCGCACCGTGATGAGAGTTCAGCATACGCTGCCATGTTGTGTGCACAGGACATCGTCAGTAAATTGAAAGAGCGTGGATATGATGCCATTCATGTTAAGGTACGTGCACGTGGAGGTTCCGGTTCTAAGGTGCACGGACCTGGTGGACAAGCCGCTGTGCGTAGTTTAATACGCGGTGGATTGAGATTGGGCAGGATTGAGGATGTTACGCCGATTGCATGCGGATCTGTCAGGAGGAAAGGTGGTAGAAGAGGAAGAAGACTATAGTTAAACGAGTTTATTAATGTTCTTTTATGGATGCGGTGTTCGTGTTGGTGGCATCTTTACGGATGAGCTCTCGCGTATTATATGCAATACGATATGGGGAAGGTATGTTTTGGTAAAGGAGTGCTGGTGTATGATAGTTGTTGGAATACCATCTCACCATGCCGATACTAAAAATCGTATTCTCTTCAAGCATCGCAATCATACCGTTTTCTGCCAAAACATATTTAGTTGCTGATGGTGATCGTGCCGTGATACTGTGTGGCAGCATGAACGGACTCGCGGCTAAAAAATATGGCAATCATACCGTAAGCATATAAACGACAAAATTTGCAGGTTAATGAGTTGTGTAGGAAGGGTAGCTGCGCTCATTTTATGATGTTGAAACGGAAGCTGCTTCTAGGCATTCAAATGTTACCCGAAGTGCCGTTAAAACATTTATTTTGCCAGTTGCCTTTTAATGGTAAGAAGTGCCTATCCGCCGAAAGGAGATAGAGCGGTCGTATAACGTTACCAAATATTGAACAAGATTTGTACCGGGATAGAGCGTATTCGGGTGAAAACTCGTAAATAATTGTATGCTGTTTAGGGAAAAGTTTTATTTACTATTGACGTGAGACGGTAATAACTTTGACAAGAATACCTGGAAATATTCCATAAACGTTGACTACCAGTGTACGAGAGGCACACACGTGAAAGTGAGACAGAAAGAGCCAACGATGATGTATTCGCTTATTTGATCGTGCATTATCCTTTATAACCAATTACCAACCCATTCCACCGAAACTTTCTTCATAATTGGCCATTTCGTCCAAGGTTTTATCGCAAACGTACTCCCACTCCATTTCAAAAAGTTTGATGATCCCGTCCACCATCCGCCTCTTATCTCCTCCCATTTTATAAAACGTACTTTTGTGACACAGATGCAGGTAATTGCAGTTCACTATCTCACGAATATCTCTGTTCACATCGTTTCTTGCAATACCATAAAAAAGATCTTTTAACTCAACAAGAAAAGCACGGGTCACCTCATCGAATCCAAACGGCGTAAGCAGCGGAAATAAATGATGTTCCAAACCTGATAGCATTATAAGCTCGGACATCTTCTCATTAAACACTCCATTCAGTTTTGTACCGATGTAGTACATCAATCCCACCGATAAGTCACGCATCGTGTGTCCTTTAACTTCGAATGAGCTACCAAGAGAAATCATTTGTGCTATCGTGAGGTGTTCCTCACTAAAAAAGCTGACAGGCTTGAAAATATCTTCGAACTCGTTTGATTCTGCGATACAGCGCAGCACAAAGAATGCGTTGCTGCGTGCACGAGGCACAGCTTCATATGTGTATACGAAGTCATCGATGTAAAAACGGTAGTATGTGTTCATGGTAGTTTTGATGAACCAGTTTAGATTGGATGTAAGGCGACTTTCGATGGCTTGACACGCAAGTAGACGTAATATCTTTTTATCTTTGGTGGATAAATTGTTGTATGGTGTGGATAGCTGTAGTGGAGGCATGAGATTGATTGCGATGGTGGAACATGAACAAAATATCGGTTTAATTTATCAAATAGAGTTTAATTATGATATGAGTGCTACTTTACGGTTATAGCTTGATGGAGAGTTGGTATATGACATATATTATGAAAATTTGTGTAATTTTATGGCAGGAATACTCAAATGGTAAGTAATTTTGTTATTCTCTTTTAGCTCGTGTAAGATTAAACGAAAATGAGCTGTGTAAAAGTGTTTAAATACTTTAAAAATTCTCATCTCAAATAGTTACGTCAAAAAGAACAATTTCACTACTGTTTATGAATCTCAATGTCTTTAAAAACACATATCTCGCATGTATTAACTTGTTTTCTAAAGCTAATGTGCTGATTTTATCTGTAATCTGAATCGAAAACCGAATTGGATCGTTTTTTGATGTACATATGATGCACTAAGTATGGAAATATGTTTAGTGGATTTAGTTCGCTATTAAAATAATTAGCGGCATGATCAATTCAAAATACTTTGTTCATAGCGTTATACAAAACAGACCTTTAAAATTTGACGCTACTGCATCGTGTTGGTGATCATCATCCTTTACAAATAATCTTATTAAATACAACTTTGGTTTTCGTGTTAAAAACAATGATATTCTCTTGAAAATAGTAAAACATGAATGATAAATCGAATACTATAAAACCGGATTTCGGTTGATTATTATCTTAGAACGGGAATTGCCAAAAGTAGTTTCAAAAATACGTTATACAACAAAACATTGTACTTTGTAAACATACTACCTCAATAAATGTGCAGTATAAGCATCGAACACTTTTTTAAGATAACCACTTTAATTTACCAAAAAGAAACTGCAGATTCAGGAAGTCTTCATAAAATTAAACAAACTGCTTTGTTTTACCTTCTTAATCTTGGTCTGCCGATTTCCATTACTGACATTGTCGGTATTGTCTTGTACAAATTTATATTCAAAAAGATCCTTAATGTCAAAATCTTTCGTGTCACATAGAGCATATATCTCAGTTCCTTCCGATTTAGACAATTTTATTCTGATTTCACCACTTGTAACGAATGTCTGCCGGTAAATAGGACAGTATGTGGGATTTTGCACACGAAACCGATCAAAATTTATCACGCTGCTCCTTAGAAAGAATTTCATGGTCAAGTGTTGGGGTGTAGCACTAAAAATCTTGTAAAGTACAAAGCGAGGTAAACAGAGGTATTCCCTCCCTTGCAGGTCATACATTACAAAGCATAATGTATAAATATCGATTGTGCAGAGCAATTTTTTCAAAACGGACTATTTGTTGGGAATAGGCGATAAGAAGGATCATTTTGGACAAAAAATACAAAGAATATGTAAAAGCGTATATTGCTCGATTGATAGCGAACAAGACTGTTTCAATGATATCAGCCATTGAAGCAAGAAGCACATTAAAAATTATTGAACGGTCGAGCATGCATATTTAGCAGATGGTGGCAGAATGCGTAGTATTGGTGGCTAAATATTTTTTGAAGAAAAAATGATCAAGTATAGAAGTAGGCAAATAAATTCAACATGAACATCCTGGATCACATAGCCATTTCATTAATTCGGTGATAGCATGCTGTTTTTAAGGCAGTAGAAGGATGTGACTTGTTACATTCCGTACTATGAATGGAGTAAACACTTGTGCAGATAACTAACAGTGTTGTTATAATTGATGAACAAAATTGTTTGCAACCAAGTGATCAATATAATGAACAAATATCTCTCCTTCATATTTAAATTACATATGCCGTAAGAAATGAACAAAAATCAGTCATAAAACAACAAAGAATAGTGTAAATAACCAAGCATGTGTTGCTCTATTGGTTGATCAAAACAGTAATGTTTCACATAAGCTATAAAAACATTTACAGATAAATACACCATGATAAATACGATATTTCTATGCAATCCCGAGGGAGAATACAGGATAAAAAGATCGTTTACACTTGAAAAAATAGACCTGAGATCGGCATTCAAGACCAAACTGGCACTGCGTAATTTTTTTAGGTTTGAAGGTAAATTGTATGTGGTAAAGACGTACAAACTGATAAAAATCGTGTTTGTGGTTGAAAATGAGAACCCCTTTATAACATTCTACTACATTGATAGCCTGTTCCAGTTGCTGAATGCGTATTTCTCCGGATTTTCTGAGTCAAACCTTATTTACAACTACGAGGAGGCATATTATATGCTGGATTCCATGTTCTTGGACGGAAAGCTAATCCAAAATAACAGGGAGTTGATTTTGGACAATACAAAGGCATTCTTCAGACGAAAGCGGGCACAGAAGAGTTGATGTACCTCCATAGTGATATCATGATAAAAATAAAGCTACCTCTCTATGAAAAAGTCTTGTCTTATACATCGCTGTGAATACCTCGATCTAAAGCCAATGATGGTTCATAATACCTGGCCTTATGAGTATGAAGGGCTGGTTCGTCACCAATAACGAAATTCATGAGCAAGTTTAGAACATCTGGACACGATGAAAGAGCACAAATCATGATGCCTTTCTCATGATCTGATGGTAAAAACATACCATTCACCAGTTATTAGACAATTCTATTTAATTTAGCTCCACTCCTTGATCACATTTCTCAGAATTTTAGACTTAATTGCATTTTCTTTTATCAACTCACGAACATCCTCACTTTTTATATCTTTCAAGAGGTAATGCACGTCCCTACACTCCTTCCCGCTGTGCACAATCCTTAAGATCATTAATCGAATCAAATCGATATTATTTGTATGCAGAATTACTTGACATGTATTTGAATCGATGCACGGTAGCACGTTAATGTAGTTATATAGCGTGTCGTATGCCGCCATATCTATCATTTTTAATACCGTTGATCCATTGTCAAAATAGGCAAATACTTCCGTGTCCATTCCTAGTTCCATAAATTGCTGCAAGTATGTGATTAAAACATTTTTGTACCTTTTAATCAAACCCACCAGGCATAAAAGTTCCTTTTCCTGTATTAGAAGAGGTACAACAAGTGGAATGTACTGGAGTATGTGATTGCTTACAAGCTGTAAGATCATGGCAATAGCCTTGGTGTTTTTATGTTCTAGCAGAATTATTTTGAGCTCTTCGTCCGAAATGCAAAAATGGTCGACAAACAAATCGTGATTTTGAACGTAATCATGCACCAATGCGAGTATTTCGACGTGGTCCATGTTTCTATTTATCACAGCCCTAGCAATGTCATAACAATTGTCTTCGTTGATTGCCTGTGCAAGTGACAAAGCAATTTTTTTATGATATTTAACGGGAACAGTGAATAAATGAACTAAATGCGTGGTGGAAAGCATAGCAGGTGGTATCCTATCCGTTGTTTCAAGGACTTCTTGCCAAAATTTCTTTGCTGTACCTTCCCAATCCCTAATAACGTATCCATTAAGTATCGGCTGTGTGTTCCCTGTTCTGTAACTCTGCAGACATTCATTGGCAATATTTAACTCACCGATGTTACTATCCAATAAAAATCCGCTATTGCTATCCAACATGTTCATTCGGACATAATCGACCAATCCATTGTTGTATAATTTCTCAATCGCACTGTTGTACGATCTCTTATTCGAGACGTTGTCCAGAAAATCATGCAATTTACCTCTAAGAATACCATCGATGCATTCCTTGTGGCTTACCAGCAGATTAATAATCTTACTGACCTGAGGTATCTTATTTCTGACTGTGTGGTAGTCCAGAACATACTCAAGCACGGTTCTCTTGTCCTCTGCAGTGTCTATTATCTTTGATAAAGGTACGACAATATCGTAGTTACTATTTTTGGCAATTTTGATACAATTGACAATGAAATGCCCTCTGGCGTTCTTTTTTAGGAGCATTCCAGTCAATTCATTTTCAGTGATGGCGGGTGAATAATTTTTGTTTATCTGCAAATTTACTATTAGGTCATCTGAACCATTTCTCATTAAATTATCCTCGCCAGATATAATTTCTGTTCTAGCCTTTGGCGCATACACATTTTCATCAAGTTCTAATTGTAGAATATTCCTACAGCGAATTAACACTTCGTTGTTCTTACGTCTGTCATTTTCTCCGGGAACGGATTTATATTGTGCACTTGTATTTCCATCGTACCTTCTCATCGTTGTTTTCTCGTCACCATTTTCTTGCATCGTATCATCCATAATCACATCTTCCAACTCTCTTATTTCTATTTTAGCCTTACTCTTGAATGACAGATAAACATAACGGAGAAAGTTATGGTCATTAGTTTGTCTGATAACCTTCAGCACTGTTAACCCGTAAAAACTTGGTAGTCTCTCATTTCCTTCCAAAAAAGAATGCATCAAGTGTTTGAAAAAGAAAAAATCGTACTTGTAATACTCCATTACCATGAAATAGAACTCTTTGTCTTTCATTTTTCTAACTATACCACTCAAAGAAGGTTCCATTCCCAACATAGCAAGTTCTTTCCCGTAGATCAGATAATCCGGCAGTAGAATGAAAATAAGTTCATTTTTGTTGTATCTATCGATGTGGTAAAACTTGATGTGAAAGTCCACAAGAATGGTAAAACCATCATCTTTTCGCTTGGTCACAAGCGATTTCAAATATTTCCCGTACTTTTTGTTGAACTTATTCTCCTGTTGTTCGGTGTACGTCTCTCTCAATTTATTCCTTCGGATGTACTTATCAGTACTGAGCATATCACGGTGTGTGTCGATGTCTAAATTTTCGGTATTTTCTAACAAGAAAAGTGGCTTGGTGTACAAATCACTCGTCTTCTTCAGCGATCTCAATTTCAGCAATTTTTCTTTTATCATCAAATGGGCAAAAAAATTTACGAATTTTAATCGATGGTAAGAATGCGTGAAAACACGTGCCCGTCCCCTTGCATTACGTGTCATTATGGATTAAAAGCTATTCAATGATTTTAAACGTGCATTTAATCACAAAAGGAGATATTGTTGTGCGATGAAAGTGTTGTAAGGCGATAAATTAATTGTATTTACAGTGCTGAATGCCGAGAAATAGTTTTAGATGCGTATTTGTTGAGTTGTAACGTGCTGACTAAAAATCAACCGTGTTCCGTTTCGCACAGTAAAACGACCTTCATAAAAATAACCGTGTTATTTATTTCAGAGATTAAACCCCCTTGATGAACACACTAATAATGAAGAACCATCCGATTGATCACAGCCCTGTGACCGCCATTTGTACGAATAATCGCCAGATTTTCGTTTTTCAGAGTAACATCCTGACAGTTTACTCTTCGCTGGCACTTACCAAAACGTTTATCTGTGATGTAAAGATATGTGTTACCGCGTGCTGTGTGTACAACGATGTGTTGTACATGGGCACGGATGATGGTTTATATACATTTGCAAAAAATCAGCTTGCAAAAGTGCGGGAGTGCCTGGTTGTCCGTATATGTGTGGTTGACAGGCGGTTATATATTGTAGAGAGAAAGGACAATGAATATGTGCTGGTTGTTGATGGCGAAGATGTTTGCAGGTCAAGGACCGATATTTTCGTTGGATGGGCAGGTAATCGATTGGTAGTTGTTGGCGATATGGTTAGATGGGGCTTAGAAGAATGGGAATGGGTTGGGGATGGGCTTACATCTTTTCATGTGGTGAGTAGAATCAGTGGATCAGATAGGAAGGAGCATCGAAAGAACAAAAAGAGAGCGAAGAAAGGAAGTAGAAAAAAAAATGAGCATGATTTGGCTGACAAAGGATGCGCAAAAACGGATATTAGTGATGTTAAAAGTTATCATAAACATGGTTTGGTGGATAATGAAGACATAAGAACGGAGTTTAATGACGAGATGGGTAGTAATTGGGGAGGCCCAGTGGAGGAAAGTGAAAATCAATTGAAAAGAATACAAAGAGATTTTCAACACGATATTATAAGCGGTGATGAAGGCGTAAAAGATAATATAAAACACTGTCGGAAGTATTATGGTGTTGTTACAACTGAGAAAGGCGACTTACTACTTTTCGAGTTGAAAAACGGGTTAATACTGCAAAAATTAAAACTGCGAAATTCATCGGTGTACGCGGTTAAACTGAAGGAAGACTTCATAGCGACCGGAAACGATTCGCGGATAATGTGGATCAAAAGCAACGAGGAGTATTTTTACCAAAAGTACAGACAGCTGGACATTCACTATTCAAAAACGCATTTAGTTATAGACAACGGACGAATCATAAGTGCAGGTGAAGATTCTCTGCTTAACGTGGTATATACGGACAAGGAGATGTACTACAAGTATTTCAACGATAATACGGGAGTATTAAAGACGTATAAGAATATTTTATGTGTTCTTGAAAACAAAACATTAAACTTTTACACGTTAAATCGCGCTAGAACAGGTGAAGATGCAGGTGAATGTGGTAAGAATAGCATGATTGATGAGAATGGTTGCAGAAAACAAAACAAAAATGGTGCGGGACATACTGCAAATACCTTTGATAACGGCGATTTTACAGGTGGTAAAACCGGTAACTATAGCGACAGGATGAGTAAACGAATAGAATATCTTCTAAGGTACAAAACCAATCAACGAATACTGTCATACGATTTAAATGATAAATTTATAGCATACACTAACGCAGATAAGACCGTACTACTGCACTACGTACTTGGTGACAGGTTGATGATTGACAAAGCAAAAGAATTTTCACCGTGTTACTTCTTGAAGATTACCAATGATCAATTGATCATGGTCAAGAACACAATTGTAATATTTGATCTAAATGAATTTAAGGAGAGAGAGGTGACAGGAGCGATAGATGTTTTTAATGTAATGAATTATGACTGGAATGGATT